GGATAAATGAAAATAAGAAAAAACAACAGACGAAAGTATAAGATATTGTGGAACTTCTCAATTCATAATTAAAAAAATATATTCTGAACGAAGTGTTTTCGATTAAATTAATTGGCATTTTATTACGATTAAAGAAGAAGATTACCAAGATAATTATATTATTTAACCAAATTAGAAAAGAATTAAATACGAGAAACTTCTTTCCGTTGTCTTCTTTATTCTGCAAAATTTCTTGTATTTTTACGATTTTCTTTAAAATTTTCCGTTTTGTGATGTGAAAATGATACAAAATAATTATATAAATAATAAAGGAAACAGAAAGAAAAATGTGTATAAAGCATGTTATAACAGATAAACGATTCGTTAACACTTTTACAATTGATGCATAAATGAAGAATATAGGAAATATTTTTGCTCCTATCAGCATGAAGGCGATATATAGAGAAAATCTCTTTTTCAATTGCAAACCGATGAGATTCATGCTGATTCTAAGAGGTTGTTTCCATTCATTCTTACAGATAATCATTTTGGAATTGTTTGCGAGAAGTGTTGTAACGGAGTTGATATTTCTGTAGGTGATTTTTCGTTTCGATCGCTACAATAAAAATTAATTCATTCATTTTTAAAATGAGACAATAATTAAAAAAGTTAAGCGCAAAATTTATACCAAATAATAAAAGAAATCCGTTTTTCAGTACATTATTTCTGCTGTTTCGAAGTGTATTCTATAAAGAATCTTTTTTCTTCGCCGTTTCACGAATTACCTAAATAATATAAAATATATTTAATTATTAATATTTTATTTCAATCACATTTACAGTATAATATGTAAATTATTTCACATAATAAATGAGATATTCACATTTTACTTTTTATAACATTTACTTTCTCTTAATCTTAAAATTTAATTTATTTCTCTACAAGTTAATGTTTCATATCCGGATCCACATTTCGTGTGTGCACAAAAAGGCAGTAATCGCTAGACATCAAATCAGATTGTTTTGGAGAATGGTTCTTAATTGAATTATTGAAGCAGGATTTGAGTATGTACTGCATTATGCAGGTAGACGTTGTCATGGAAGAAAATCACCCCGGAGTTGAACATGCCATGACGTTTGTTCTAAATAGCTTTCCTTAACTTCTTTAATGTCTCTCAATAAAATTATGAGTTAATTGTGGTGTACCGTTTCACAAATTTCACCAATAGTATTCCTATTTTGTCCGAAAAGACAGTTACTTAGTGAATAAAACCACTGAATAGTGTAGTTTGTTGGGGTTTCGCACCTCGCTAACGATTTAGCCAAATGGAATTTTCCAGGTTTTCATCACGTGCCTAATGCCCAAATAAAAGCCAATAGATAAGACCTCCCATAGATAAGACCTCCCAGCAGACACTTCCTAGTAGAAAATCATTTGAGTGTGCTTGTCTCATCAGATTCCATCGATCCGATCTGATCCTAAAAGCCAGCTGCCATAGCTTTCCTGGCAGACAAAGTTTGCTACACTTCTGATTTTTCTGATGAATGTTTGCGGTCCCACTCCATTGATTAATTTTTTTATCTCTATGTTTAAGTACAAGTCCCAAATCTTATCACCTGTCTTATCTTAACGCTTTGATTTAAAATACATCACGTTGTTGAACAAGCAACAGCAACATGAATTTAACTCTATCCCAGCTAGATGCATACTGGTCCACCCTAAACTCCTGCACAAACGCATTGCCGTTAGGTCCTCTACTAAATACGAGCGAGTCCACGTTTTCGTTACTTGAGACTTAATCAGTCGAGTTCTGGCCCGTTTATGTTTAGTTACTTAGAATTTTATTTCTTATTACGATGCGATATTGAACACACTTCTAATTTTAACTTACCACAAGCGACTTTCCAGATATCTCTCAAGTTTGTTAGACTATTTACATATCTACAACTATTCGCGAAGTATAATCGAATAAATATATTTATTGCTAAAGATTTTATAACGATTTGAAACATTCTTCGTTTACATTTTAAAGATTTATTTAGATAAATTTTAACGTGGAATTTTATAATTCAAAATTCAATGATTATAGTTTAATTATATACTTGATAATAATTGAAACAGTTACAAATTGAAATTTAAAACGGTATCAAATTATTAACTGGAAAATATAAATTTTCATTAATTTCGATTTAACTTACCAATACTTGAAAATCTTGTATTGTGAGAGGAAAGTATTGTAATAAGGAAAGTGTACATTTTTTTTACTCGGATCACTTTCTTGTCTGATGCGTGATAAAAGAGAAATTAGTTCGAGAAAATCGATCTTTGCGAGCAAATTAAAACGCCTGTCTACATGATAATGTAAACGGCAAACTTTGCCAACATATTTATGTTTTCGAATCGATATGTAACGTTATTATACGTGTTATGGGTCAAGCGATTAATAGGGAATTATAATGCAAGGTCATTATGAATAATGACTAAAATGACCATGTAGCTTGATAAATATTGATTAATTTATTAAATTGACCAGCCATTATAAATAAAGCTACATTCCTTTTGGGCAATTTGATTTTCGAAAAGAAACTTCACTTTTTTCATTAAAAATTATTTGTTTTTGTGAATTGTTCTAAAGTATTTTAAAAACATGCGATTTTTTTAATGCATAAAATACCTATAAATAAAATATGATATTGTGAAATCCGGAAGTTTTGTCGGCTATTTGTCGCTCAATTGTCCTGTATTTGATTAAAATCTAATTAAATAAGTGGAACCTAACGAAAAAAAACTTTTCGTTTATGTTCGACATAAACATCCGTTCAATTCGAAACTAATCCCACATTCCAACGTTAAAGTTTATAGTTAACATGGGCCCGGGAACAACTCTGACCCATCTGCATACCTTTTACCTCACAACAATTGGTCACATGACCATTCTCCCACGCCGAACTTATAAAAACCCCTTCCTTCCCNGGAAAAAATGATAATTACATACTACAGACGTGAAGTGAGAGAGATCCTAGCAAACAGAAATTAATCCAAACATAAGAAGCAACGATATTTATTGCAAAGAAAATTCTAATTGTTGGATGTTATTTAACAAATAACGTTGCATATCAAGTGGAAGAAGTCTCATAAAGAAAATACGTGTAAAAATAAGGTAAGAAAATATCCAATTCTTCGTTAATCATTCCGAAATATTCCCAAAAGTTCAACCTTATTTTGCAATATTTCCTGCAATGTCTCCTGTAGGAAATCCTTGTCACCACATATTTCAGCTATTTATTCTGATAGCTTTTGGTATCCCTTTTTACAGTAAAAATACAATTGTTGAACATAAGAGAAAAAGAGATAGGATCTGACCCGCGCTATAAATGAACCACAAAGCGAGAATAAAAGACACAAGAAATGATTTTGTGTTTGTTCCCTTTTGTTTCTTTATTTCCGCATACAACCTAACTCTGGACATTAATTCACATGTCCTTATTTTTGTTTGTTATATTCCAGATATAATACAAGGTGATCAAAAGAGATTGTTTGTTTTCTCTGAATAAGTTTTTCCTCGGTTGCTGAAGCCAAAACACCAGTGCAATACGACCTATTAATAGGCTAAGTCCTAGTAAAGAAAATATATAACAAATAATCCTGGACATATTTGTGAGCACTATGTTAGCCTTCTTTATTGCTAGACTTATTACATCGTGACGGTGTAATAAGCGTAGCAATAAAGAAGGCCAATATAGTGCTCACAAATATATACGAAGACTAGACAAGAAGCGCATTATAGTAACACCGGACATTACAGTAATCACAATAAATAAGATAAATAATAGAAACAAGAAATGTAATGAATACACTTCCACCATTTGTTTTATTTCACATTTTTCTCGATAACCGCTAACAACGAAATAAATATTAACCCTGCTTCTTTTGACAATACTAAACTGCTCAGCAATATACAGTATACTGCTAAAAATGCACACTCTATAGATGCTTGCAACGCATAATCTCCATACATGTTGATTCTGTAAAGACCGAGAATAGAGTTTTTAGAAGAAAGGAGAAGGTCGATAATGTGTTTAATTGCTTATAATCGGAATTTGAAAATTATATTTATTTTTGAAATTATCTTGAATAATTTAATAAATTACTTTTCGTAAAGATTTCATATAAGGATTTGGAAAGATTCTTCTCAGAATATCCATTGGTGAATTTTTCTTTATTAAACTATATTTCTTGATAAGGGTACGTACGATAATATGCTTTAAGAATATTTGAATACACCTCATTGTTTAGTACATAAAATAACGTAATTTACAGGTGATAAGTGCCGTTTATTCGATATTCTCTTTGTGCATTCAAGTAGGTGGAAATTTTCAAAAAGAAAACAAAATGTATCCTCAAATACGTAAATAATACACATTGTGCTTAAATGTTTCTTATACATAATTTATCAAATTTTATTTATTAATTATTTCTCGTGTTAATTTTTTTTTCTAATCTTCACCCCATCCTGAGATATTAAGCGAAATAGAAGCCAACACACACACGCATACATATCCACGGAATTTTTTGCAGGTTTTTTTTTTATTTACTATTTTTGGATTTAGAAGGTCTTAAAATGTGGATATTTGAAAATTGACAAAATTTGGAATTTCTAATTCGAGAAAAGCGCTGTTATGAAATGCCATTTGATCCTCTTGTATTACTTTTGCTTCTGGCGCTTCAGGATTGATCGCTACTATAAAAGTTATTTTCAATTCGTATTAATGATATTGATTTAGATGTCAAATAACGATGATTACGTTGATATCATTCTTTATTGAAGTTATTTTTTAAAATCATCTTCAAAGAGAATTAATTTTTCTAATTAAATAACCAGATTAAACTAATTTAATTTTTTCCTGAAAATGATTTATATTACGAATAACTTATTTCTGTAGTTAATCCATCAATTAAGCATAATTTTAATAAACAATGAGCGATTCTAATCGAGCGTCAAACTGATTCAGTAACAATTAGAGAGACAACAATAGTTGTTTGCAACTATAATAAACACTAAAAATGGCTTTCAATTTCCAAGAATTTGCTTGCATCGAATGCAACGACGGTGATGTTCTGGTATGGAAACCTCTCCTTGAAAGGAATTCCTCGACTCTAAGAGATGCAATAGTTTATTTTTGTACGATGACATCAAAATTGAAGGTTAATTGCATGCGAGGCGAATTCATACAGATAATAATGTAAGTAATCAGTATTAAAAAATTCGAAATTGATATATTTCTGATTAATTAACCCAACATCAAATAAGCAATAGCTAATAGCTTTATCAAAGTTTTACTAAACAATTGGAAAGGTTTAATATTAACAATTAGTAACAATTGGAAGTCCACCAGCGGCCAAGCGGTCTTTGTTCCCTGAACACTGGCCAACAGGGGCCGGCTGGCCTGGCCACGTGGAGTTTTTCGGGTTTTCTCCACGTCTCTAACGCCAAAAAAGAAGCCAGTTTCTCTTAAAAAGACCTCCCGGAAGGCATTCCCCTAGCCAGATCATTCAAGTAACTTAACAAACAGTAACAATTGGCGATTTAAACGTCAGCCTGAACTTCTGGAAGATCCAGGATCGAGGCGATTTATTTATGATACACCGTGATTTTTTCATCCGGACAGAACGCTCGTGAAAACTACATCGTAAATTTTTTACAGGCGATCTGTTCAGGTATTTGTCGTGCCTCGGCTCTCACTTCATTGTAGGCTTGACAGATTCCACGATATAGTTAATTAATAAAGATCTATTTATTACCCAAAGCATATAAAGGTTTAAAAATCAATAATAATCTGTGTACAAATTATATATGCAACCGTTTACAAATAAAGTTTGTTTTATATGAGTAATTCACAACTATTACTACATTAATCTGTATGTATATTTTTTCAGCTATTTAGTGTCGAATGAGCTTCATTTAAGTTCTATAGAAAACTGCTTAAATATATACAGACTCGGAAGCGTATTTAAGATAGAAAAAATAAAAGACATTTGCAGAAATTACATCATTCATCATGTAAACATTGAAAACATTTGTTACATTCACGATTTTGCATGCGAACACGAAGATTATTCGATCCAATATCATTGTTGGATACAATTCGATAGACATTGTCAGGAAATTCTGGATTCAGAAGGTTTCCTTTCTTGCAAGGATACAACTATTTCCAGATTCGTTTCTAGACCGATATACATGTCACTCAAAGAAGAAAATCTGTTTAAAGCAGTATTGAAGTGGGCAACAAAAAGAGCTCTAAACGAACCCAGCCAATCAACATCAATCACAGGATTACGTATGGCAAAATCAGAAGAAATTCGCGCTCATTTGGCACCTTTTCTACCTGAAATACGCTTACTTTCCTTGGATAGAGAAACGTTAGAAAAGGATATATTCACAGAAAACATTTTAACAGCAGATGAAATGAATTCACTTCGATGTTTTTCCAAGAATACACACCCCTCTACCTCAGTTCCTCCAACAATTTGTAATAATGATAAATCTCGTAAATATGTCTTCTATAATTCATTAATTCATTATATGAATAAAGGCAGTCTGGATACTGATGAAAGGATTAAATTAGATGAATCATATAAGTTTCAAGGAAGATTCTACACAGAAGTGGATTGTTTTCTTCTAGGTTTCAATCTACCGATATTTCACGAAAAACCAATAATTTTTATGGTAGATGTGGTTCCTGAATCGCAAGAAACAATAACAATAAAAGAGAAACTAATGACGTGTGATGAAAATGGGCTGATTAAACTAGAAAATCCAATTTTTATTGCTAAATATTCAGTCATTGCGGTATTTTCGAAGATTATACAAGCAAATTCTGATATTTGGATTAATTCTCATTATTATTTTCTCACAGACACAAAACTTGATAGCAAAAATATTGAAGATAAATTTAAGATTTTATATATGAACGTCGCTTTATATTTTTGAACTAAAATTTTAAAATTCATCGGCATTAAAATTTATTTAAAAATGTTACTTTGTTGTAATTATTTACATTTCATTATTTTTCAGTTAGACTGCATTAATTCAGTCAAACTTAGTTAAAACTCTCCCTAAAACCGCCATTCTCACGAAACTCCAAAAGTAATAGACGGACGAATCTTCCGTATGTTTTCCAGGTAGAACATTCCCGCCCTCCCTGTCCGCTAATTTGAAAACGCATTTTATATTTCTATTGTTTTCAATAACTCGATACAGATACAGGAAACGAAGCTTAATCTACATGTAAATCATGTAATTATCTTCTTGTCAGAAACTTGTCAATCACTTTTTATGTCTGAGAGTCTTGAAGGCCCTTGCAAAATACTTTTTCATTAATTTCCTGAAGTTTTTCAGTTAGCCTCTCTCATTTCTTATCGACACACAAACTAACTCGTTCAATTCAGATTCCTTTCTATCGTAACGTTGTTTTCTTTCATAGCTACTATCTAATTGGCATTGTGGTATATAATGGACATCGGAATCTAAAAATTTTAATGATTAATTCAATACACTGGTTAACGCATATGTCTGCAATTTTTCAATAAATAACATTCTTTCTTTTCTCGACTTTGGTTCATTTTATAACTACTAACGAAAAGAACCATTAGCAGGCGGTCAGCTCTAAAAAAGCTATTAATGGTCAAAATTGGCACTTTAATATATTACGCGTATTGCTCAGGTCTATGATAATTCACAGAAATAAATAATTCTTAATGAGGTAAAGCGTTTTGAAAATTACAATGTCTAAAGTGTTTATTTAGAACCTTAATAAATGAATTAATATTTATCGGACTGAGGCACCGTTTTTCTCATTATTCATGAAAGCTCATAACATATACAAGCGAGTACGAAAGTAGCATATACAAGCGAGTAGTTTCAACGGTGTATCAGACAAAACATTTTTGTCGAAATAAATATCGAACAAAAGTTTTTAATAAGAGAAACACTTTTACGTGCTTACAGGCTTAAGAATCTTTTTACTAAAACATTAATTAAACAACACGAAACATAAATTGACGTGTAAGAAATCTCAATTTTATAACTTTTTTTTGTAAACTTTTAAGATATTAGAATTATAACGTTGTATTGCAAGATTTCATTCCCTCTAATTCTAACCCCGTTTTCCATCTTTTCCCCTACTATTTCCTTATTTTAGGATAGTGTTCGAGCATATCGTAACTCTATGTTAATTAATTGATTATGGTTCGTATTTGTGAGGACTAGTAAAAGGCTCAACACAAACTTGTGAAATGATCTGTAGAAATTTAACTCTTTACAGACAGAGATCGTGAAATTCACCCAAAAGCTCAAATATTTTAACATTAAACTCAAGAATAAAATTTTCTGTTGTTGAGAGGATCTATTGACTCGTGCGATTATTTATTGCGAGTGTTTCCTCGAGTTTTGCTTCATTTGCAGCAGGGCCGGTGTGACGTTTTGCAGGGTCTGGTTCAAAAATTTTGCGGGGCCAGAATACACATTCAAATGGTATAAATTTCACAATAAGGAATTATTTATTATAAGTACAAAGAATGTTACATATATTTTTTATAAGATGAATATTACATAATTTTTCTCGCTTTTTTAGCCGCAAAATCTTTGATTACGTCATCAAAACCGATTGAGTTTGCTACTTCGCTTTCTATTGAAAGAATAGTCAGAGATGTAAATCGGTCTTGGCTTATTGATGATCGAAGATAATTCTTTATTAGTTTCAACTGCGAGAAACTGTGTTCAGCTGAAGCCACGTGTAGATAACATTATTTGTAACTCAATTAACAAATTTGAGTATGTTGACATTTAATGTCAACATACTCAAATTTCAACGTCTGCAACACGCTGCAACGATATATTTCAATGCAAAGACAGGAAAGAAAATCTTGCACTCATGTCACTGTGCAACAAGTTGTCATCGATTAGTGAATTATGTGATTGCATTTTCCACACACACTCGAATATTCAATCTACTATACAGGGGGTCCTGCAAAATGTCTGATGAATTTTCGTACACCGCTAGGCCGAGTTCCGGCGAAAGTGCTGAATCTGCCTCGCGCTGCCCCTGATTTGCAGCGATAGTTTAAGTTTAGATTACGATCTTTCTAGATTTAAATACTTTTAACTTTGATAAACAAAATATCACAATTAGCGGCGGTGATTTTCAATAAGAATTGATCGGTTCCCTTCAGAGAAATCGCATCTTTTCATTTATTTCTGATCGGTCTTTTCATTGTTAATTTTCCAATCGAATTGTTAAAGCAAAGTGAAAATGAATAAATAGTCTACTTTAAATCTGTTATTTCTCGCTATAGTTTATACTCGTATATTATATACATTAATATTTTGTATGAAATTCGTCTGAATCTTAATTAATTTAGAATAATTCGAGTCCATACGTCGTCTCGTTTCCTCTATTTTCCCACGTGTTTTGTGTTATGGCAATCAACAGAACACTACAATTCATATATATATAAATGAATGCTTGTAGTTGTTTTATCAGGACAATAATAAAAATGTCTTCTAAAATTTATCTTTATTTTTTCAACAACTAACATTCAATTCAAATTTTTTCGACACAATTACATAACAATGCTATTTTATGTTAACAATTAAAGTAAATTAAATGTATTATTTGCAATCAATTTCATATCACAATTTTTTCTTGAAGATGCATTTCCTAGTTCGAGAAGCCCTGACAATACAGAATAAAAGGAGTTCAAAATCTGTAAAAATAGAAAATTACACAACTCTTTCTATACATCAATTGTATATCTTACAAATTTAAAAACTAAAATATATTCCTTGAAATAATCAATTACAAAATATCAACGTTATAATTCATAAATTGCAAACAATCCTTTAAAATAAAGACCTACTCTCAATAGGAAATCTTTTTTAACGTAGAAAAATCCTCCAATAAATAAACCAATCGGACGTCTTCCAAATCTTTTCATGAAATTCAGCATCTATAAAACAGAAAAGAAGTTCAACACTACAATAGTCATGAATACATTAAAGAATTGCAGAAATTCTGTTATACTCACTTTTAACTTCTCTTGTAATGTACAATTGACCGATGATAACACGTTAATATGTACGAAGTTTCCATAAAGCTGTGATATTTGTATAGTTAATGATCCAAGACAAACAAGAAAATATATTTCGCTATAACTTACCTTTGCAATTAACCGAGACAGAATATAAGCAAAGGAAATGGCAATTAAAAAACTAAGTAGACATAATAACAGCATGAGAAATCTCCACGATAAATTAGCGAATATTGCTGTGTACATTAAGAAGGATGTTATGTAAATAATAAAGCCGTATATCAAGGGAAAAGAAACTTCTAAAACGTCATTCATTTGACAGAAACAATGTAATATTTCTGTGTGTTTCGGTATTACGTCATAAAGCAGAACGTATACGTCTGTACAATGTTCAGTTATACCGTTAACAATTTCGCACAGATAATTTAATCGGTTATAAAGTATAATGCCAATAAAAAATAATTGCACACAAATAGTAAATATTACAGGATGTGCATAAACCGTTTCCCAAGAAATGAAAATGGTACAGAAAAAACTTTCTTCCTCAGATCCATTTATCTTCAGAGCAGGATAAAGAAACATTTCGTAGAATAGGAAACATAGAAATATTGCCATTACGAGCATGTTACAGAATTTTATCCACATTAATTCAATGTTTTGCGACAAATTAATTTCTTGGGTATAACTGCTGATCTTGTACACAAAATTAATTTTCCGTCTTTTGAAAATACTAAACTGTACGGCAGAATGTGTATAAAATAACATAAGTATGTATCTAAGTGGAACGAATTCGTCTCCAAACAGAATCATCCAATCGCTGCAAATTACGTCAATTTGAAGAACATCAAACGTGAATCTAATAATAGCAAGAAACCATAGGAATTCTATCATATTCACGTATGGTTTGTACAGTAAATTCTGAAGTCTTCGTCCGTAAATAGCTCTGTTTGTGTGACAGTTGCAATCGGATATAATACTAAATCCAAATACTTTGCAGGATTGTATGATTGGAAAGATCAGACACACAGGACAGCCGTTATACATCCAATTATCCATTTCTTGCTAACGAAAGTCTTTATAAAGTATATTCTATAGTATGTAAAAAACTAATACATTTAGCAATTAAAACGTATTTTACAATAACGCAATGCAAGGGATCGCAGTAAAATGTATCCAAGAGAACGAGGTATATGGTAAATATTCTAATCGCTAATGGTTAAGAGGAAGTTGCTTGCTTCGAAAATAAGTTTAAGATTTCGAAACATCTCACAAATTTTGATCATTAAGCTAACTAAATGAGTAATAAACAATAAAAATTGTGGAATTTTAATGCATTATAAATAACCGGTATTTAAAAGCTAAATAAATTGAATATTTTTCTTAATTGAATGCGATTACTTCTTATTCAAAACGAATTTTATTTTATAGTAATCGACTTGAAACAATTAACATTCTTCAGTTGAATATTCATCAGGTAAACACATGTATAGAGATCGATAATGGATTTTTCAAATTTCATATTGCGAAATTATAAAGTATACAGGAAGCAAATTTAAATTAAAGGCTAAAATTAGAATTCTCTTAAATTACTTGATACAAGAATATTGATATTTTTAACATTTCTGTGTTTTTCTACTGTGAAACAATTTTTGTATGCTAGAAATAAATAATTTATCTTATCTTTATAACATGATAAATAATATTTAATTTCGAAATAATAAAACATTTACTGTAAAATGTATATAGCATCAGCAAGTTTTACTTTCTATATCGCAACGGTGCATTTTTTATGAAACTTCTATAGCACATATTTCCATGCAATAATACAGGCTACACTAGAAGTTACAAAAGAGCGAACAAGGAGTTTGTAAGCAAATAATGAGGTTTAATTATATATAAGATGATATAGTTTTATTTACAACTAACTTGATGTTTATAATCTTTCGTGGTATTATTTAATATTAATATAAAGCTCCTTGTGCATGTAAGCTAAAACATTCAGTGTATAACAATTGTGCAATGTGTAGTGCTTTGTACAATCGTATGAGCGTTTTCTGATCTTCAAATTAGTTTTTATTTGCTGAAACAAAATCGCCAAACTGACATATTGCTGAATGTATTGGTAGATAAAATATGTTGTTCAATGTGAGGAACAGTAATAGGATTACTTCTTAATTTAAGTAATGAATGTTGTGTTTTCACAACAGTCGCTCATTTTTCTTTGCAGAATGGATAATTTCAAAGAATTGTAGAAATGGTACACCTCGGGCTGAGCTGAGCCCGAAAATGGCGCCTCGTCTTCTCCTCGTGTAATACGGGTGCTTCTGAAAGATGCGAAGGAAGAGAGCGGACAGAGTAATTCGCATACACCCAACGTCAAACGGGTGGTCGTCATGACACCGGACGACAGGGCATCGTCTCTCGTCCTTTGTCTGGAGCAGCGATACCCCGTAGTTCCGGAATGGACGGTGCACATAGTCTCGAGAGTCGGGACTCGACAGAAAGGAGTCTGAAAAAATGACGAAAAAAATCCGTCGAGCGTAAAAGGCTTTCGTGAAAAAGGTTGTTTTTCTGCTGGAAAACATAAACCTTTTTTCTGCCAAGGCCTTCTTGCACGGATTTCGACTTTTCACCGATTGTAACACAGCCACCCGGAAGTGACCTTTTATCCAAATACGATTTAATCATCTGGACTTGACTTTTTTTTCCGATAAGAATTTTTTTCTTTCCAATTTACGGACGGATACTTCGACACCATTCGAGATTCGTTCATCTACGATAGTCTTTGGTCACTGCCGATGTTCTATGCACTAAAGTGCATAGAACATCGGCAGAGACCAAAGACCAAAGACTAAAATATTAGGCAGTGTTCTTGTGTTCAATAAATGACTGTGTTTAAACAACTATAACTGGCCAAGGAAACTTATAATATTTCGACCGGTGTTCTACTAGTAAAACATTTCACTACAGAATAATGCACTACGATGAAACCATTTCCTCCTTGAACTTTAACCAAACACACCTTGCAGTCGAAAAAGAACAATATGCTTTATTTTGTAAATTAACTAGCAAATGAGCCCGGCCTTGTTCGGGCAAAAAATAACAACAAATATTAAGATTATTTGATTCATTCGTACTTCTAACCCTTCTAACATATTATATTATAGTATTTGATTTATATAATTACGAATGTCATCTAAGATAATTTTTGTGGTTATATAAATCAAATACTATAACGTAATAAATATTAAAACGAAAACCATAAGAAGAGTTTGGTTTTTTAGCCTACCATTGACACGATTATCACTATACTCCAACGGTACGGAATGACACAATTTCATTGATCAAATACACACCAATTGAAAATACGGTATCTTAAATTTTTTCAGTTAACAATTTTTTTTTCTATCTCTAGAAATGTTACTTCTAAGAAACTGCCCCATTTACAGCCGAACATCAAACAGTCATCTGACAACGATTCAAATTTCACAAAAAACGAACCAAATATTTAAACTCGGCACCCTCGAAAACCACTAAATCATATTTTGTGTTTCTGGTAACCTTATATTATGTAATTTTACTATTCGAATGCCACCATACCGCTGGTCCGATAGAAAAAAAGGGGCTGTTGCGAAAAGGGATTGAAGTAATTCGAGGAAAAGTAGTCGTTGATCTCCTCCCGGAAGAGAGGATGGTCAACCACTCCTAATTAATACTGGTCTACTATTAATATTTGAAAAGTAATCCGTGATAAACAGACTGCGATGGTTCCGCTAGTGATCTTCTTGCTAACATTAATGTCCATAAGAATTTATATAATTTGTTTTAATAAATGCATTTTGTAAAACTGTGACTATAATTTCTTTTATGTTACCTACGCATCTAGCTAAGTATTAATTAAGTATTTTATGTTATAACAAAGTGTTTATATTTTTTGCAACATATTGTATAAATTATGTGGGAAGTATGTTCCCGTAAATATCGAGTTTATAGAAAAATTATTGGACTGCAATTTGAAAAATTTGTAGACCTATAATTTTTGACTGTTGTCTGCTGTCTAACTTTCCGGAATCTCGAGAAATGTGTTGCATACGTGTAAGTCGAAGCAAGATATAGAAAGCTTAGCGGCAGGAGGGCCAGATTAATTATACAGGAACGTTTATGTCACGTTACTTCGATTCAAAATTTTCCCCTAAACGAAGTTAGATAGGTGACCGGCACGACTGTATTGCTAACAGGAAAAGTATGATGTATAGGGGCAAGATTACCACTAAAACTTGAAAATATTGTGACGAATGTCTCAACCCGGCATTGTGACGATGTCACAATAAATAATCGCTGGTTAGAATTAGTTTGACTTATTTGATTACGGCAACACGACACACGAGCGATCTTCCGGGAAGAATGCATCTTAGAAAAACTTTTTTGGAAAGCGGGTCCCTATTTAGATGAAAAAAACCCGGAAAACTCCACGTGGCCCGCCCGTTGGCCATGCCCGAACTCACGACGCTACCAGAATTCGGAGGTTTTATGTACTCGACTACTGAACGAAGCTTATTAGAAATAAGAAAGTACAAAAATTGAGAAATGAAAAACCCGAGTCGTCAGATGTGGAAAAATTAAATACATGTAGTTTTTCACAGGGTAAAGCTTTCTATTGCATGCAGGCAAGTGCTATCTGCTACCTGTCCCATTAATTATATAGCGCGCCTATTTCGCGCTATATCATTGTAGCAATAAATAAGTGAATATAATATAGACTATATATTTTAAAGTTATATATATATTTTTATAAAAATTATATTTAGTTTATTATTTTGTTAGATTTTTTGCCACTAGATGGCGATACGTGAAAACCAGTAAATCCAATAGAGATACAAATTAATTGATTGAAGTAGAAATCCATTAGATATTTTGGAATGGGATTTCGACACAATCTAAGTTTGAGTATATAAATGTAACTGCCGAGTTTCGTAGCAATTGGTAGAACGGCCGAGACGTGTGTACCAAACAAACATCCAAACAAACAAACATTCTCATTTATATACATATATATATTCCATATAAAGATGTATTTTTATTCTAATTGCATTTCCGGATAAGCTAGTATTTATCGAGGAGAACTGATAAAACAAATTCCAAGATTATATAGAAGTTTAAAAACAACAATTGCACAAATATAAGAGATTTTATAGCCAAACAACGTGTTAAATAAATTATGTATAAAAGGAAAAGTTTTAATTTTTTCCTTCTAATAGTTGATGGATGGAGGCTTTCCAAGTGTCATTGGGAGTATTGGGTTTCTCACGGAATAGTAACTGGAGGATTATACAACAGCAATCAAGGTAATTAGTCATATAAATTTCCTCCTTGCAAACATCATACTAAAGATTTACGTCCACCACATGCGCTTGGAAGTAGGAATGAACCATCGCGGAAATTAGCTGCGGATGTCACGTCATTTTGACGTCATGTAACCAACCTAAAGCTAGTGTTTATAGCTGTCATGTTTGAACTGTGGAAGTCATCTTACAGATGTAAAAGGCATTTTAAAATTTTACGAAAGTAAAAAAGGTAAAGATTATTATAAACATTTTATACGACAAATAATTGAAATTCATCAATAAAAATATTTTCTGCTGTTTCTTTTTTCAAAAATATTTCCATTTTTATTTCTTTGTACGAGAAAGTCATGTTTTCATGGGAGCAGCCATATTGAATTAACGCATAGCTCAACAGCGAACTAGCTGGCACTTCCAGCTTACTAGTTCCATCAAAAATGACGTCACATAACTCTAAATAGAGCGGCCATAGAGCGCGGCGCTAGGACGAAAGTATACAGGTTGAGCGTGCTGATAGTAAAATTATCTCAGACGTAAACGCCCCTTAATGACCAAAATGGCGCCGAACGCCATCTTGGTTATCAAGTGAGTGTTCTACTGTATATTTACAGAAATAATATAAATTAATTAATATTAATTATTTTTTAGGTAATAGATTTTAAAATAACGCTAAATTTTACAGGTAGATCGGTGAGTCGAACAACGTAAATCAAATTCAAACTGAAATTATGAAAAATTGACCCGTAGAAGCAGTTTTTACAGTTTATGCCGATTATGTATCTTACAAATCAGGTTAATAGATTAATGCAAATTTCACATAAAATATACACGATATAAAATATATTTTAATATCGGAATTTAGGTGTTTATCAACATCACAGTGAAGAAGTACTTGGTGGACACGCCATTAAAATTTTAGGTTGGGGAGTGGAAAATGGTGTTCTTTATTGGCTTGAAGAAAATTCCTGGAACCGTGATTGGGGCGATAAAGGTATATTTTCAATATTANACATAACTCTAAATAGAGCGGCCATAGAGCGCGGCGCTAGGACGAAAGTATACAGGTTGAGCGTGCTGATAGTAAAATTATCTCAGACGTAAACGTCCCTTAATGACCAAAATGGCGCCGAACGCCATCTTGGTTATCAAGTGAGTGTTCTACTGTATATTTACAGAAATAATATAAATTAATTAATATTAATTATTTTTAGGTAATAGATTTTAAAATAACGCTAAATTTTACAGGTAAATCTTCATACGGTGGAGCAACTTGAATCAAATTCAAACTGAAATTATGAAAAATTGACCCGTAGAAGCAGTTTTTACAGTTTATGCCGATTATGTATCTTACAAATCAGGTTATTAGCTTAATGCAAATTTCACATAAAATATACACGATATAAAATATATTTTAATATCGGAATTTAGGTGTTTATCAACATCACAGTGGAGAAGTACTTGGTGGTCACGCCATTAGAATTTTAGGTTGGGGAGTGGAAAAATGGTGTTCTTTATTGGCTTGTAGAAAATTCCTGGAACCGTGATTGGGGCGATAAAGGTATATTTTCAATATTAAAATTCATCATGTAGATACAGGCATACCTCGACTTACGTCGTTTCGAGTTACGTCGTTTCCGATTATACGTCGCTTGTTAAAAAAGTATATGGAAAAATAAAAATCAAGTTTAAGTCATTTTATTCGACTTTACGTCTGTCCGCCACAAATATTGAAGTCGTAATATCACTAGATAAACGTTTAAAGCACATAAAATCATATTAAAATATATACAAGTATGTACTGTATTTACAGTACACGCATTCGTAAATTTAGATTACTTTTTTTGTACTATATTAAAAACTAAAATTTATTTGTTTGTAAGCTTAAAATAGATTTTTATTAACCATATATTATTTAAAATGCTTTCCTAGTGATAAGTAGATTCGGAGACAGGTAAATTCGACTTACG